TCTCTCCCCCTCTCTCTCTCCCCCTCTCTCTCTCTCTCTCATGCGTTTAAAACTAATTAATTTTCAGAAATTGGTGAATTTGTGTATGTAGTTGTGAGGCTACAAATTAAGCTTGGTCGACCGACAGGTACTACGTTCCAGGACACGGTAAGGTATTTTTGACGATACGCTGAGCACCTGGTTCGCACGTCTGCGGATTGATAGCGGGTGAGAATCGTAGAGGCTTGTGGTTTCTTCAGTAGAACTTCAAGAAGGCTCTCCACAGACCCAAAAAAGAGACTAGACAAGAACCTTGCTTTTCCCACCTTATCCCGTTCCCATTCCCATGTCTGAGCGATAGCCTGATCCCCTAATCCTCTGTCATAGGGAACATCCCAATCATCTACAAAGACAACTTGCGCAGCAATAAGTGTACATTAGTAGAGTTATGAGACGATGAATGTTTCTATTCCACGGCCGTGACAAAAGCGAATGAGACAAGGAGACACTACGCACATGCAGTAGGAACACTTAGGCACACTATCTCTGTTGAGAAAACATCGGATACCCAAATGAAAGTTCGGGATTATAACAGCTGAACTGTACGACCAGAAACGTATTGTTGCCTGCATTACCAATTTGTTTCATTTTCTCGTGCGATTTCTTTCACGAAATGTAGATTTTTTTGTTTACAGGCTGCCTGTCGAAAACTAGGAAGTTGATTTTGAAACTGAATTCAGTGTAGTCGTGTCACTCTTCTGTGACGTCAGCCGAGTGCACAGATTTCACGCGTGAACTATCAGAGCCAAAGCTCGGGCGAGCTTTGCCACTTAGGGATAAGAAGATAGCTTCCCAGAATGCGGAATGCCAAGTGCTCAGAGGGTAAATGCCACTCCCAACCAAGCGCGACCTGGATCTCGTGTTCCCAGGACTCCAGGAAATCCCAGATATCCGTGGCTCCGCACCTTTTGTTTCCACGGAAATTCAGGCGAAGCACGGGAGATAGAGGTGGACGAGGTCTGCGCGCACGCTCAGGACACGCCCGTCCTGCGTGACGACGCGTGCGAGTGCATGGACCGCACGCGAGCGATCTCTGACTCCCCCGCCCGCGCTCCGTGAAGCCGATTAAACTGACCGCCTCGTTTCATCAACTCATCCTCAGAGGAAGGTCCCCGACTTGGCCCGACGCGAGGTCGTCGCCTATCTCCTTGGGCGCGCAAAGGTCTGGCCGGGCGCCCGCCGGCGGCTGCTGCGCCGCTTTTACACGGCCCGGAGGGGAGCAGAAATAGCTATGCGGGGCGGGGCGGGGCGGGGCGGGGCGCCGCTGCTCTTGGCGGAGCTCAATGAGCGCCGGAGGCGACCCCGCTTCCTCGTCGCCACAGCCGCTTTCCTGGGACCGTGACAAGCGCAAGGCTACAGGCTTGAACCGCGCTACGAGTCTCGGTAGATAGGATGTGACGATTTACGTATGTCCGCGATAAAACACGATGTCTCGAACATGTTAAGCGCAAGCGCTAGTTCTTGCAATTTACTGAGAAAATGTGGCGCTATTAAACATTTTCAGATATTCTTGTACATGTAGCAATGCCACTACACCCAATACATCAAAGAACTAAATCTAGCACTTGCACAAAAATCCCGATTACTTATTTTATATATAATTTAATAATAAATAGTGAGTTCACGTGGAGCTTTACGATGCCACGAATAATTTCTTGGGCATGGATGAACATGTGACTTATCCGTGAATGTTTACACTTATGCTAATAACCCCAGTTAAAGAACTATGACTAAGCCCTTGACCTATGTGAATAATTGCCATGATGACCGGTAATGTTGGAAACGGTGGAGCCAACTCCAAAGAAGCTTAAAGTATCAACGAATTACATTGTATATGTTAGTGTAAATAACTGGCGCCAAGAGAAAACCAGGATCCTGGGAGCAGTTTATCCAAGGGAGCCCCTATTTCAAACAAAATGTTACCTCTTGCCCAATTAAGAAATAGAATTTAGTTCTCCAAGCATCAGAAATAACCTATAGCGTTAAATCTGGGTTAGAGACATTTTTCATTTCTTTCGAATGAAAAAATTCGGGGCCGCAATTAAGTAAGGGCCTGGGGCAAGTTGCTGCTCCCAGATTTGGACGCCCCTGGTGTTAATCTCCATATATATACACACATGCACATACCCTTTCGGAGTTCTGAACATTAGAAAGAGCTCGTAATATAAGCGGTTTTTCTGTGGCCAGCGGAGCCTCTATAGGATGCTTGCGCGCTGTTGAGGCACGTTAGCTGGTCATGTTCTCGGTCAGGTCAGACAATGTGACAGAATTAGAAAAAAGAACTGTCTCCCGAGAGCCCATCAATATTCAATTAACTCTATTCAAATAGATAGTATTCCAAGAAGAAGAAGAAAAAGCAATAGCCGAGCTTCCAATAATAAAAAAAATATAATATGCATTACAATATTTTGTATGTAGTCACTATTGATACATATATTTACAGAAGCAAAAAATATCTTCGAAAAGTTTTTCACAACACAATGCATAACGATATGCCTTCACAATGAAGAGACAATATTCAGAGGCTGTTACATGATACGAATGTTCTATGGTGGAAATCTTTTTGAATTTTCTAACAAATGAGATTCAAACCATTTCTTGAAAAAATGAGTAAAAAAATAATTTTGAACGAACGTTATTACGCTTTAATAACAACAGATAATAAACATGTTTGTGACTTTCAGATGGTGTTCTCAGACTCATTAAAATCTGTATAAAGAACCTTTATTGCGAAACAGTCTATACGCAACGTTTCATGCCACAAAAACTTTATCCATGCACCACTAATTACCATTAATTCAGTGGAAACTCCCGTGTTCTGACCGGTTGAGTTTTGGCTCTAGCCACTATTGCCACTATCGCTACAGCGATTTTGACCGGGAGTGCCGAGGGTTCGAGAGCAGACGGTGACGGATTTTCGACACTTCCTGTATAGCTAGGTCGAATTCAGTCGCTATCTGGAGGAGAACTGCAGCGGGCTCTGCTCTGAACGGTAGTCTTTCGTGGCTCCTCCGATCAATACCAGACGAATGCCGAAGCGATACGCCAACAAATAGGCGATGGATCGCACGCGATCTTTCCTTCCACTTCCTCGTGGTCGTACACGCACTACACTACACACTACACTACACTACACATGGCGGGAGCCACAAGCGTGCGTCTGCTGAGGGCGGTG